TTTCATTTAACATTTGGTTGCCTAAGTTGGCAGGAACTGCTTTTTATTGTAGCACCTTTGTGTTAGTGCTCACTTCTATACTTGATGAGGTCTTTCTAGGCAGTTCCCAGTTTTAAGAGTTCCATGCATGCTCAGACATCGTTCTCCATACTGTAAGGCATTTGTTTCTTGATTTGCTGAGTTGAAGCATTCAATTTAAGTCATTAGCTAAACAGAACTCCTCAGTTTATGCTAATACTGTTTTGTCATAACGTCAATCAACAAGTATTGCAGAGTGACACAATGGCAGTGAATTTCATTGTCATTAATCTGAGAAAGCTCTGGGCTTTCCTTGGCAAAGAGCAGAGATGGGCTGTGTCAAGGTTATGGAGGAGGTACAAATTTCATTAAGCTTTGGTACTTAGTCACATTTTTCTTTGAGATGTCCTTAAGTGTGATTTGAGCACAACCCTGCAATTATAGGTAGAAATGGAAGCTAGTTTGTATTTAAAGATAAGAAAATTGAAGTTAAAGTTTAAATAACATACCAAGGTGTCACAGCTTGTTAGGACAAAGCTGTGTCAAACCTGCTGTAACACTTTTTTCACATTTCAAATAAGTCTTTTAAGACAGGAAGAGTCACAGTGTGTGTGTTATGTTTGCATCTTTCCAACAAAGTGTTGGGTCATGTATTGCAGTAGAGTATTGTGGAAGTTCCTAACCTGGGAGTCAGGAGTTCGAAGTGATAGTTTGTTCTGTATTACAGAGTAGTCAGTTTTTGGAAGATTGCCAGATTAACAAATTGGTGATTACTATATTGGCAAAAAGTAGAGAACTGTATTGACAAAATGTCTGGTAATAGAATTTAACATATTAGAAGTTCTAAGGTAAATGCATGTCATATGTGCAAATCATGTCTATCTTTATTTCTTTGTTGATACTTAGGATAATTCATGTTCTCTACTTTCAGCTTTAGGAAACATTTCAGTATTCTAAGAAAGCTCTTTTCCTTTGATAGTTTGCCATTTTCTGACTATTCTACTTGGGAAGCATTTATATATACCATCCTGGAAACTACGTGCATTGTTTATGCATTGTTAGAGTGGCAGAAAGTATAATCCATAGTACAGTGTCTTGGCCCTAGAGCTATATCAAGCCTGATAGTTAAAAATCTAGTATGAAAGGCTGGGTGTGTTTGTGTGTATCTGTAATCCTAGCTACTTGGGAGGTAGAGACAGGAAGATGTGTGTTCAAGGCCAGCCTAGACAAAGTTAAACCATATCTCAAAAACAAAATAAAAATAAAAAAAGGGCTTGGGGCATAGCTCTCAAGTGGTAGAGTGCTTATCTAATAACCTTGAAGGTCTGAGAATCTCCAGTCTTGGGAAAGGATCCAAAAACTAAGCTTGAAAGTGTCTTTTTACATAGAAACTTTCTATTAACAATAAGTTGCATATTTCACTAATGACATACAGATGAGAGTTTCTTTGGCAGGTTCTTTCTTACCCGAGAGTCACTCCTCAAAACCACTTCAAGACTTTTTACCCACTCTAACTGCTTAGTAACATTAATATCAAGGTAAATTTAATAAGCAATAGTACTAAGTGTACAATATATATAATATATAATATTAATTTAATATGTAATATTGTGGTTGATGGTATAGGTATACATATACTTATGTAAGCAAAAAGGGAAATTACAAACTGGTTGATTTATACTATTTTGTATTAGCATGTATTAATTGTACAAAGGGGCTACACCATGGTGGTTCACACATGCATATATTGCACACTGATTAGATTAACCACTCTGTTACTCTCTCTTTTTCCCACCTCCCGCCCCAAAAAAAACCCCGGCTTTTAGTGGGTTGCCTTGGGCCATCTTCATATTTAGACACAATGTTTTTTGGCATTGTTCATCCCACTCCTCATCATTCTCTTTCCCTCTTCTCCTCTTTTCCTCCCCACAATATACAGTCCCTGATTACAGTCATGTTTCTCTATATATATGTATGAATATATATATCCACATAGATTTTAGGTCTAGATTTGGCATATGAGAAAGAATAAGCAACTTTTGTCCTTCTGAACCTGCTTACTTCACTTAACATGATGATATCCAGTTCCATCCATTGCTGCAAATGCCATAATTTCATTCTTTATGGCCGAATAATACTCCACTATGTATATCTACCACATTTTTTTTTAAATCCTTTTATTGGTTAAGGGGCTTCTAGGCTAATTCCAAAGCTTGGATATTTTTAATAGTGCTACAATAAACATGGGTTTGCAAGTGTCTCTGTTGTATCCTGACTTCTGTTCCTTCAGATATATGCCCAAGAATGGTATTGCCAGTGTACTAGTTTACATTCCCACCAACAGAGTTCCTTTTCCCCCACATCTTTGTTGTTTTGAATTCTTGATGATGACCATTCTGACTGAGGTGACATGAAATCTCAGTGTTATTTTGATTTGCATTTCCTTGATTTTATGTTATTTTTAATTGATGGAATGATGGCTTATGATTTTTATATGAACCTTACCTCTATAAACTAACATCCTTCTTCCCTACTCATAGTTTTATAATAAGGGATCTGAAGTGATCCAGTTTACACTGGACATGGGGAGTACATTCAGAAATCAACATTTACTAATCTCTTGCTTCTTTCCTGAACAGTGTCGTTGCTAATACACAGATATACACTGCTTTGGACGGAACGTTTTGTACTATGCATATGGACATGATGAATTTGCCGGTTAATATATTTTCTCTGTCCTGCTTTATGTTCTCCTAATAACTTGAATGAAGAGAAGCACCAGCTTAACCTGTTCAGAATAGAGTTGCTTTCCTGAAAATTCTCTAGAGACTGGCATTGGACCCTAGTCCATCAAATCATACCAGAGAGGGATTGGTGCTGCTGATGTAGCCAACCCAGCTGCTAGATTTCAGTCCACACAGGTGAACTGCAAGGCTTAAACCAAGCTTGTTAATCAAGGTGGCAGGGAATGAATAATGCTGTTGCCCACCCATGAGTTCTGACCTGGTAGAAACAGACCATTTACTATGGCCTGACTGTATCTGAAGAAGGGAATTGCTTCCATCAATACTAATCATGCAGCTTAAAATTCTGTTGCCCCATGTTTCAGGTCTCCTAGATTATAATGTCCAGTCCTGCCAGAATACAGTGCACTGGCCCCGAATGTGGTAGGGGTGCCAGAGACCTACACAGTTGCTACTAATCCTGACTCTGTTTCTGCAAGCCTAATGTGTGTGCTGCTTGACCATTTGCCTGTGTTTACACAACAACCTGAAATAGAACTCCCATTTTTAAATCACTTGTCTAATTTCTTCTTAAGATAAGGAATGGCTGATTGCCTAATAAAATATTATATGCACCTATAAGGTATTTGTTTGCTGAAGGCAGGAAAAGCAAATTTGGTAGTCACTAAGAGTGCAAAATGATAGTGATTTCTCTCACTAATCCCATACTAGGCATAGTATGATAATGAAACATAGCAGTTATAATGTATTTGGATATCATAACATTTATTAAAACCTATTCACATACCTTCTATCCAACTGTTAATTTAGTGGGTTTTTTCCACATGTGCAACATGCCTATACAACAAATAACAAGAATATAGGAATTTAAAATAATTTTGATAAGTGTTTATATTTAAAGTTAAAGGTGTTTTTAAAATAGTTTCACATTTCTTCATCTTCATTGTTTATTCTGATTTTATAGATTCAAAAAATATTTTTAAGCTCTAGGAAAAGTACGCTGTAAGTTTTTATGCCTTGCTAACTTTCTTACAAAAATTCAATAATATTTATTATAAAAGTGACAATATAAAATAGGCAAAAAGGGAAGGAAGAGGAGGGGATAATAAAAGAATAATAGGGGTGAATATGATTGAAGTACATTTTTACGTTCATGTACCCTTACTATGTACAATTTAATATATACCAATAAAAATAGTACACTTTTACAACCAATCTCTGTGCATCTCCAAATTAGATAGAATGTTTAATATGATTTAATAGTGAAAATCTAAATCAAATTTCTGTGTAATAAATATGCTAAAGCTTTCATTGCGTTTTTCAAGCCTTTTTTAGGGAAAATGCCATTTAGAATAATGTAAGAGTAGTTCTGTATTTGAATGAAAAGGGTAGCAAATCCATGTTCTTTTAAGCCATACGTATTCTTGTTCATAGAAATCCTCAGATGAAACTAAGCTTGTTTTAAGCTATTCATTGTGTCCCTAGAAAGCTTGTTTTATAAATCATTATGTCATATACAAATTGATCATCCCTAATCCAAAATCCTACATGCCCCAAAATCCGAAACTTTTTGAGCACCTACATATGCTACAAATGGAAAAATCCACCCTTACCTGTGTGATGGGTTGCAGTCAAAATGTAGGTGCACTAAAAATATTACATGAAATTGCCTTCAGGCCATTTAAATAAGGTGTGTATGAAACAGAAATGAATTTTGTGTTGGGACTTGGGTCCTATCCCCAAGATCCCCAACATATCTCATTGTATATGTGTAGATAATGCCACAAAAAAATCTAAAATCTGAAACACGGGTCCCAATCATTTCAGATAAAGGATATTCAAAGTAGGGGTGGGTGTGTGTGTAGGGACAGAGACGTACATATACATGTATATACATACAGAGAGATCATGTGTAGGGAGGAAGAGTGGATGGAGAAAGAGAGGGAAAGATGGAGTTAATTTGCTAAGTTCTTTTAGCATTAACATACTCAGTATTTTAAAATAGTCATATTCAGCCTCTCAACAGGTATTAAAAGTAAACATTAATAGAGATCCTATATATTGTTTGAGAGGAGGGGGTTAAGAAAGAGCAGTAGAGGGGATGAATTTAGTCAAAGTATATTATATGCATGTATTGAAATATCACAGTGAAACCCCTTTGTACAATTAATACACACAAGTAAAAATACATCCTATATTTTATATATTTTAGTAATATTTTTCCCACCTTAATGTTAGGTCTTCAAACATGAACTCGCTTATTTGCTGACTGGAATTCTTGGAGCGGCAGTAGATTATTGGGTCTTTCTTGGTCTGAAGATGGGCAGAAATGTGATGCGACACATGTCTGATGACTTAGGAAGTTACATTTCCCTTTCATGTGATGGTAAGTAGACTGGTTGTTTAAGACCCGTTCTGGAAACTAGTCTGTAATCTTTAATGTATGTTAAGTTTTCCTTAAAGTGGTGATGGATACATACATACACAGATATGTATCAAGGACAGTATAAAAAGGAACATAAAAAGGCTCCTACACATATAACCACTGGTGTTTTTCTTTCCCTTTTTTTTTTTTTTTTTTTTTTTTTTGGCAGCACTAGGGTTTAAACTCAGGGACTTGGCTTGCTAGGCAGGCACTGTACCACTTGAGCCATGCCCCCAACCCTTTATGCTTTAATTTTTCAAATAGGGTCTCATCTTTTAAAAATTTTTTTTTTTTTTGGTGCAGCCAACATAAATGGCTATCTGCTATTTTTGCCTCCTACATTGGGATGACAGGTGCAAGCCACTGCACCTACCTTTTTAGTTGAGAAGCAGTCTCACTAACTTTTTAGTTCAAACCTCAACCCTCCCAATATCTTCCTCCTGATTATGTAGGGTTACAGGTGAGAGCCACCATGCATAGCCTCTTTGAGATGTTTCTAAGCTTATTTTTATAGTTAAATTCTTACTGTTTATGCAATTTTGTTTTCTTATCTTCCTCTAAACATTACTGGATCCTTCTCCCATGTATTATTGATTATACAATAATTGATAGCATAGAAAATACTACCTGGAAGCCAGATGGAGAGTACAACCCTATAATCCTAGTTCTTGAGAGGTTAAAACAGGACAATTAAGGGTTTAAGGCCAACCTGAGATACATAGTGAGTTCCTGGGCTATATAGTAAAGCCCTGTCTCAAAAAAAAGTACCTAAAAAGAAATTATTGTGTATATATGTGTGTGTATATTATATATATATATACATATAAAACTGTTATGTATTTCTAATCATATAGATAAAATTGTAGACCATCATGTTCAACAGACAAATTTAAAGTCAGTTTATTCCCATTTCATTGGAAAAATAGGTTCACTTTTTTTATGTATGGTTTTTAGAATCTTACATGTTACGGACAATTTTAGTACCTTTAGCACTTATATCATTCAAGTTGAGTACAAAGTATTACCAGTCTCTGATCTAATCTGTGCCACACGAACAGGTCTTTTCCTGAATGAACACTTAGTGGTATTAAAAAATAAAATTCATTGAATCAGAACACTTGTCATAAAACCCCTTGTATGTATTTCGTTTATCACTGGTTATGTTTTCCCCCCATGTACATGTTGCTTTCTTAATAGAATATAAAAACTACTACATTTTAAAATTAAGTCTGGTTTTCTAAAAAGAAATGAGCATGGATGATGCAAATAGTTGTTTTATACATAATTTTCTTATTTTCCCTCTTCTTTGCCCCATTATCTACTTTAAAGTTTCCTCTGAAATAATTGGGAAGAGAAGTATTATTTAAGCAATGTAATGACAGACCTCACTTTTATACCACTTTCCTTATGAAAAGTTTTACCCAACTTTTTTGGGCCTCCAGACTGAGGGAGGCTTCCATAAAACCTTATGTATATTTCTTGACTTATAGCCAGTTTAGGGAAAGTCTGTCTGTTCAAATATAAAAAATGATTTTATTTTTTAATTGGTATATATTCAATTCAATTATAAATAGGAGTTTTATCATGTTATTTCCATACATGTATATAATGGACTTTGATAAAAGATAATTTTTACGTACTTATTAATATTTTAGACTGCCAAATAAGTACTCAGTTTTGCTGCACATGTGTTTCAGTCCATCTTGGTTTTATCTGAAAAAAATGTTCTTGCATCTGCTGTCAGTCACATTAATACTTTGAAGAGAGATTCTGGGAATAGGAATCCAGGTTGTAACTGGGTTCAGAATTTATTCGATGATGCCCTCTGCAAAGAGGTCTTTTTTTATACTACCAAAGTTAGAAGATTTTTATCTAAAGCATTTTATCTCCTTTCTTTTTCATTGAACTGAGGGCATGATTACTGTTCCTTGTGTGAACTAGCTGTCCATTGTTGAGGGGCTTTTTAACATGTCTTAGCTCAAATTCAATCTTCCTTGAGGATCCTTATCATTTCTTTCTGAGCTTTCCTACAAGGTAGTTTAGGGGTTTTTTTTTTTATCCTTTTCAAAAACAACAAAATTCTGGCATTATTTGATAGAATGAGAACTAAATATTTGGCTAACAGGATTCCTTGTTTTCATTCTATAATGAAACCTCTTTGAGTTTGCAGAGTCAGGCAGGATTAGGTTTAGAGACTATCAATATAGTTAGTTATGTGTGTTATTTTTGGTATGTAGTAATTGCCTTTAAAAAAATACAAGTTACAGTCTAGCCAAATGCATGAAATTATGAGCCATGTATCAACAGGGTTATGTGTTACACCTCTGCTTCAAGAGATTTGTTCATATTCTCAGTTTCCCTTCACTCTGAAGTAGGGCATTGTTATTCAGAGTTATTCTCAGTTTTCCATGACCCTAAAAGTTTGAACCTGTGACTGATTTGAGCCAAAGTCAACCTTAATGTTACTATTAGAATCCTGTAGACACAATGATTACTTTGGTACCAAGAACTTAATGTTTAAAACTCTAGCTGAGGTCTAAATTATGTCACTGAAAAGCATTTTTAAGCCTTTTCCTTACTCTTCACTCACACACACATGCACATGAGTTGGTTCCTTAGGTTTCAAGTTAGACTATAGATTAGTGATTTAAATTTTTCTGACATATATTTCTAAAAATGGTTCAAGTTAATGTCTTCTTAGTTTTTTGCTATTATAGTTTGATGTTTAACCTTTCTCAAGAGACCTGTAGCCAATATGTAAAATAAAATTAAAGTATTTGCTTGGAGAATACTACACTTTTTCTTTTTTTATTGTTATTTTTTATTGGTGTACATTCTGGTATTTACAAAAGTTTTACAATATATCATACCTGAATTTACTCCCTTCATCATTCTCCTTTATCTCCCCCTACTACACTTTTTTTTCAAGTGAACTAGACATTCTAATAATGTCCTTTTTATTCATATTTATATGAAGCAATTTAAAAATCATTATTTCTACTTCCTTTTTTCTCTTTTCTCTGTGTTTATTCCCACATGTGTTTTGTTTTTCCCTTTTTAACATTTCTGTGCTTTATTCTTCAAGAGTTACCATCTTTTGCTTTTTCTAATTCATTAGTAAAGATGTGATGTGGCTGTTGTATCACTTTCATTTGAAGGCTTTGTCTATCTGTTATTTGTTTAATATACTTGTTAGCTTATATTTGTTTTATGAGAGTTAAAGCAATAGGTATTTCAGAAAACAAGTAAAATCCTTCCATCTTTCCATCAGATATCATGCCCATCAATTCCACATAAATGTTGTGTTCTTTAGTTTCTGTACTCTGGATAGAAAAAGTTAGTTTCCTTTCTATATTTTAAGGTCCCTATCTGAAATTTGTTTTTATATTCCTAATTGAAATTCCTGATGTATTGGCTTAAACTAGGAATTAACAAATTTTTTTTTTAAGTAAAGTAATTCTGACTTTTTAGGCCTTACGGTTTCTGTCCTAAGCTATTCAGCAATTGTACTAGGAGAGCAACTATATATATAATATACAAGTAAATGAGTATGGCTGTTCTTACAAGAAAATTTTGCTCATAAACAGCAGCAGCCCATATTTTACTATGACAAACCTATAGCCAACATCATAGGGAAAAAATGAAACCATTTCCCCTAAAGTCAGGAATGAGACAAGGATGCCCATTCTCCCCACTCCTATTCAACATAGCCCTGGAATCCTAGCCAGAGCAATAAGGCAAGAAGAAGAAATAAAGGAACACAAATAGGTAAAGAAATAGTCAAAGTATCCTCATTTCCATGATCCTATACCTCAAATACCCAAAAACTCCTAGACACCATAAATAGTTTCAGCAATGCAGCAGTTTACAAAATCAACATACAAAAATCAGTAGCCTTTCTATATACCAACAGTGAACAAACTGAGAGGGAATATAGGAAAACAATTCCATTTACTATAATAGCCTCAAAAAAAAAAAATACGTAGGAATAAACTTAACAAAAGGATGTAAATGACCTCTACAAGGAGAACTACAAACCCCTGAAGAAAGAGATCAAGGAAGACTACAGAAGATGGAAAGAGCTCCCATGCTTATGGATTGGCAGAATCAACATAGTAAAAATGGCTATGCTACCAAAAGCAGTCTACATGTTCAAAGCAATTCCCATCAAAATCCCAATGACATTCATCACAGGGATTGAAAAATCTACCCTAAAGTTCATTTGGAAACACAAAAGACCGTGAATAGCCAAGGCAATACTGAGCAAAAGGAGCAATGCTGGAGGTATCACAATACTTGAATTCAAACTATACTACAGGCCATAGCAATAAAAACAGCATGGTACTGGCACAAAAACAGATATGAAGATCAGTGGAACAGAACAGAAGACCTGAATATGAATCCACACACCTACATCCACCTCATTTTTGACAAAGTTGCCAAAAACATACGATGAAGGAAAGGACAGCCTCTTCAACAAATGTTGCTGGGAAAAGTGGTTATCTGCCTGCAGAAAACTGAAACCAGATCCATGCCAGTCACCCTATACTAGTATCAACTCAAAGTGGACTAAGGACCTTAATATCAGACCCGGAACCTTGCAGCTAGTAGACGAAAGAGCAGGGAATACTCTGGAAGCAATAGGTATAGGCAAGGATTTCCTCAGTAGAACTCCAGCAGCCCAGCAACTAAGAGAAAGGATGGACAAATGGGACTACATGAAATTAAAAAGCTTCTGCACAACAAAAGAAATGGTCTGTGAATTGAAGAGACCATCCACAGAGTGGGAGAAAATATTTGGTAGCTATCCATCAGACAAAGGACTGCTAACCAGAATATACAAAGAGCTCAAAAGTCTAAACTCCCCAATAATCTATGAACCAATAATGAAGTGGGCAACTGAACTAAACAGAACATTTTCAAAGGAAGAAGTCCAAATGGTCAAAAAACACAAGAAAAAATGCTCATCATCCCTGGCCATAAAGAAAATGCAAATCAAAACCACACTAAGATTCCACCTCACTCCTGTTAGAATAGCTATCATCAAGAACACCACCACCACCAAACACCGGTGAGAATGCAGGGAGAACGGAACCCTCATACACTACTGGTGGGAATGTAAGCTAGTACAGCCACTTTGGAAAACAATAATGGAGGCTTGTTAAAAAACTAAACATAAATCTGCTGTATGACCCAGCAATACCACTCCTAGAGATATACCTGAAGGAATGTGACTCAAGTTATTACAAAGGCAGCTGTACACCCATGTTTATTGCAGTACTATTTATAGTAGCCAAGCTATGGAAACAACCAAGATACCCCACTACAGACAAATGGATCAAGAAAATGTGGTATTTATACACAATGAAATTTTATTCAGCCACAAAGAATAATGAAATTTTGTCACTTGCAGGTGAATGGATGGAACTGGAGAAATCATCTTAAGTGAAGTTAGCCAGGCCCAGGAGGCCAAAAATCACATAGTCTTCCTCATGCAGATTCTAGAGCTAAAAAAACCAAATGCAGTAATATTATTGGACATGGTTCACACACTAAGGGTATGGGAGAACATGCACAGGAGGAATAGAGAAAGGGAAGGAAGCCTAAAACTTGAATATGGTTGATGTGCTCGCTGTAGAGGAGCGAATATAGTAATCTTAAACTGGCAGAGGCCACTGTGGGAAGGGAAGTAGGAAGTAGTGGAGAGGTCTGGTAGAGATGAGCCATTGTGGGATGTAATACATATATGCCTGGAAGTAACACTAGGAATCTCTGTATAGCTATCTATCTCAATCTAGCAAAACTGCTATGTTTTTCTTATCTCTTATGTTTTTCTCTTCAATGAAATTGGAGAACAAGAGGGTGGAACAAGTTCTGCCCAGAAGTGGGGAAGGTGGCCCAAACAATGTATACACATGTGAGTAAATGTAAAAATGATAAGATAAAATTAAAAAAATGCTTCAAACCAGAAAAACTCGGTATTGAGATTGGTGAGCTTAGTTTATATTGGGTGATCATGGAACAAATGATCAAAACCTAAAGGATTAGAAGAGTTTGGTAGAATCAGGAGAGGGTGTTCCAGGTGAAGACAACATTTACTAAAATTCTAAGGCAGGAAAGAGCGGGGCCAACGTTAGACCTTCTGGTACCTGGCTGACAGTAGCATCCATGGGAAGAGTGGTCAAAATCAGGCCAAAGAAAAAGGGCAAGGGAGTCTGTGAAGAACTTATAATTTCAAGAATTAGAAACCATTTTTGCAAAGGGGTAGCATGATCTGACCAGCTTTTAAATGATTGTATTGTCTTGACTTCTTTATGAATTATTGTCTCACTCATTTTTCATTCATCTGTCAAATATCAAATGTTTATTCTGTGCAAGTTAGTGACATGCCTTCTGTGAGAGATGTAAGAATGACCCTGCCCTTAAAGATCTCACAGTAAAGGGCTAGGTTTCTCATGTTCTCTTCTTCATCTGTTTTCACTCCCTCTGTTGCCTGGTACTATGTGAATCCATTATAGTTTGTATTTCCTTATTTCTGTAAAACTACCAAGTAGATTCCTTTTTAGATGAATAATTTCATTGGGAAGTTCTAATGTGAGATCATCTCCTTCAGATTCTGGTTTTACTGCTTTTGCTTCTGCCTAGAGTTCATGTGTTAAGATTAATTCATTTCAGTAAACTCTGTGAGAATGGATAGGCCTTTTTATGCATATAACTAGAGATTAAATGCCCTTTATTATCCTTCAGTATACTGCTTGCACATTTTCAGATAATACAGAGTCTTAGTAGTAGTGAGAAGGCATGTAAATAATTCCCTTCCTCATTTCCAGTCTTAAAAATTGCATCTTTTGAAATCATTTTGGAAGGAATTATGAGTTGATCTGTCATGTATATGTAGGACTAGGAGAATCTGGTTAACATCTGACTGGAGCCATTCTGCCACAGGGCAAGCACCTTGGGTTTCTTTAGTCAAGACAAGTTTCTAAGCCTGGTTACTGATTATGTTTTGGCTGGGTAATTATTGGGGACTGTCCTACACACGGTAAAATGTCTAGTAGCATCCCTTTTCCCAGTTGTGACAACCATATTTTCCTTAAGAGCAAAATCCTCCCCTTTCCCCCCAATCCCTCATTGAAATTCAAGGACTGTAAGGGCACCAGAGTCCCAGTCTTTTGTGAAGGCATCTGAACAGAACATTCACTGGGTGTCGGCATGCTCCTTATCTAAAGGAGCTCCACTTCTGAGTAAAGAGGTAAAGTTTTATACTTGAACATGCTATTAAGTTTATCATACAGTCACATTTTAAAAATGAATTTGACTCAGTCCTTATAATTTTAGTTCTTTTTGTCTGCTATTCATTATTTTTGCTAATTTTATTGACTTTATTCTTCCAGTGTCTATAGTGTACCTGCCTTGTAGTATCACAACTTTTTATTCTGTTTTAATTTTCGCTCTTTTAGCATCCTATTGGTTGATCTCATTCTTGAATTGTTATTGTATTATTCATTCTCTTATTCAGAGAGCTTTAGTTAACATAATGTTAAGTAGACTACATGGGAAACAGTCTCTCTGGTATTTTATCACTGTCCATTCATTGTGTGTGTTTATGTACGTCCATCTTACCGGGAGCATTTGAGGTTTGGGATCGAAGAGATTTGAGGCTACTGGTGTTTGTTGGTGGTAATTGTTACATTATTTAAGATACCCCATCATAGAGTGCTTGCAAACTTCCAATGAAATCTTTATACATGCTCTTACTTTATATTTTCCTTCTTTATCTTGTGCCTTTTCTTCTGTTCAGTGGTAGGATTCATAGGTGTTAATCAGGGGAAGCAATAGCTTTTCTATTTACCAAATCAAGACTGATTATTGCAAATAAAATGCATGTCTACTTATTTAAAAACTAAATACTCTGGAGCTGGGAATGGTGGTGCCCGCCTATAATTTCAGCACTGAGGATGTAGAGGCAGAAGGATCCTGAGTTCAAGGCCTATTTAGGTCACATATCCAGAACCTGCTAGATGGATGGATGGATGGTGAGTAGACAGAAAAAGGGAACAAATGAACAGACAAAAGAGAAGAGAGGAAGGAAGGGAAGAAGGAAGAAAGTACTAAGTATAGCAGTCCTATTGTGAGAAGTAATACTTAATGTTAATTGGAAATACAGTGATAAAATTCCATATATCGGTATAATCATATTGCCCTGTTACCTATGTATCCTGTATATACGCAATTTAAGATTTTGATTTGAAATAATAAAAGTAATGATTACTTTTCAAATGTTAGAACACATGTAATTTTTTCTTGAAAGGCGAGGGACAAGAATATTATGTATTTTTTGTGGTGTAAAATTATATAGGTAAATCTTACTGATTTAGGAACCATCATTTGAGTAAAAAACAGAAGAATATAACTCAAATAACTATATTTCTCCTCTTGTTTTGTACAGACTTTTCTTCACATGAATTAGAAATCTTCATTTGCTCCTTTTCCTCTTCCTGGCTTCAAATGTTTGTTGCAGAAGCAGTCTTTAAAAAATTGTGTTTACAGAGCTCTATCAGTATTTCTTCTGAGCCACTCTCTCTTCAGAAAATGGTAAGCATTGCTGTATTCTAGTTCTTTTAATTTCTAAGAAGTGAATTCATAAGCTCAGAAGATATTCTTAGTTATTTCTAATAAATGGAACACATAATTCATAAATCTTTCCAACCCATGTTATTTTTAAACTTCAAAACTAGATCAGTGAACTGGCAGAGTTGCTCAAGTAGTAGAGTGCCTGCCTACCAAACATGAGGCCCAGAGTTCAACCCCAGTATTACCAAAAAAAAGAACTTGGTTAGTGAGTAGACATTTGATAACAGAAAAATATTACAAGAATCTTTGTTTCCTAATCACTTACTATAGTACATAAAAAATTATATGTGATATTTAATGATGTATTTAAGAAGCAAAATTTGCAAATAATACATCCCATACGCATATAAGCTGCATTTAATCCCAGGTTTTCCATTTTGTCTTGGCTGTCCTAGGATCTAATATCTACAGTTATTTCATCAACAAATGAGAGATATGTTTGTTAGTTGGTCAGATTGGGCAAATTATTTTGCAACAAAATTTGCCTTTAAGGATGTTTTTACTCCTTATTCCATTTATTTTAGACTTAGATTCTATTGAAGAAAACCATTATCAAAATGGAAGTAATAAAATACCTGTTGGGCATAAGACATAAATCTAAAATTACGTAAACAAATTATAAGTTGGGAATAAAACTTTCATAAATGAGTATCAAAGTTGAATTAGAAAAAATAATTATTTTCATGAAGATATTTTCCCTCTTGCCCTATTATGATAGTGACTTAATGACATGGAATTGCAGCTTTGTTGTTCAAACAAGAAGGTGGTAAGTCGAGTAATTTCTTTTTACTACTCTTTTTGTAGTTAAAGCAATAAAATATTATTTTGCAACAGGTATATTCCTATTTGCCAGCTTTGGGAAAAACTGGTGTGTGTGGGGCTGGACAGTTGCAGATATCAAAGAAAATAGGACAGCGGCCTTGCCTTGAATCTCAGAGAGCCTTACTAATGCTGAATGGTGCTAAGCAGAAACAAGTTGAAGGGCTGCCAGAACTATCGTAAGTGATGCTATTGTCTCTGCTGTGCTTGGTTTTGGAGGACAGCTTTTCTTTTTTTTCTGATACCTTTCTTGAACTATACTGTCTGAATTATATTGATTAGACAAGCATTCAGTTTTAGACCTATAAATCAACACAATCAACATTTCTCTTTCTGTAATGCAAGGAACATACCGATTTATTGTTCTATACAAATTTTGCTCTGAAATTTAGATGACATTTCAGAATACATGGTCTTGTGAGATACTCTGCATTATACTGGCTTCCCCCAAATGAGACGTCTCCTCTAAAAGTATGCTGTAGAAAACTCAGAAACCCTGGAGTGGTCTCTGAGAGGAAGAAGAGAATAGGATCAGTATATGAAAATAGAGTGGGGAAGAACAGAGGCCTGCATTCTAATCTTAGCAGTAAGCTTTATTTTCTCTGCCAAATACTATTATTTTCTTGGTCTCCTCTTTACCCAACATTCTGTGCTCATAACCGTCTCTGTTGGGGGGTATACATGAAAATTAATGTGTAAAATGTTCCTGTCTGGTTGATATCAGTTTTAAAATTAGAAAGCAGTAAAGATGGAGTGACTAAGGGGGATTAAATTAAAGGAGCCTAGATTTTTTTTTAAATGTCTAATATTCTAATGTATGCTGTCATACCTTGCTGAAAAATAAGCTTTCATTATTTTTTTTCCTTTCAGAGAACTGAACCTCGCTAAATGTTCCTCATTAAAAAAATTGAAAAAGAAGTCAGATGGAGAATTGTCATGTTCCAAGGAGAATTGTCCCTCTTTATTCGCAAAGATGAATTTTCGCAAGACTAATCTAAAAGGTATCTAAATTAATTTATACAAGAACTTTTCATGGTTGCAAATTTTATATACTTTCTTGATGAATACTTGACCCCAAATTTTGGACTGTGTTTAAGAAATACCTTCTTGGGTAGCTTTTTTTTTGGTGGTATTGGAGTTTGAACTCAGGCCCTCACACTTGCCAGACAGGTGCTCTACCACTTAAACCACTCTACCTGCCCTGTTTCGTGTTGGGTATTTTCGAGATAGGGTCTTGAGAACTATTTGTCTGGAGCTGGCTTCGAAATGTGATCCTCCTGATTTGTGCGTCCTGAGTAAGATTGAAGGAGTAAGCCACGGACGCCCAGCTGCATGTTTTTTTCTTGAAATGTCATTTATACAAAGAAAGTGATCATTTAATATCTGGTGTAATAGATCCTCCCTTTCTTCTCCTTGTCTTTCCAGATACTAAGTAGCATGTAGCTCTCATTAAGCTTATTCCAGACTTGCCCGCCTTACTTTTCTATTCCACTTCAACCTGTGCTGCTTAGGATCAGTGTCTTCTGATTTGAAAGTATAATTCAGGCTTCATCTCTTTCAATCCTAGACATTTTGTGAACAAAGAATGAGGAATAGGCTATATCACATAGCTGTGTTAAGCATATGGGCTCTTTTCTTCTAGGCACAGAGCCCAGATACGAAATGTGTTTGGCTTTTGGTTCTAACTGTACTGGAACCTTAGTACCTAAAAGATGGAATAGTGTTGTAATAATTTGCTCTGCCACCCCCTTTATATAGACACATCTTAACTTGAAAATATAGGTCATCTTTGAAGAGTCTACCTGGCCAAAGTAAATTGCTCAGTCTCTTTAGTTTATAACCCGTATCATGTTCTAATACAAGTATTAGTCTAAATAGTGACAGTTTATAATTGCACTTCACAAATTCAAATTAACTGCCCATTTGGCTCAAAATATGAAAAATGTATTAGATGAGATCTCAGACATTAACTTCACACATCAGTGTCTTTTTTCTTTGTTTTATTATTGCATAAAGTAAACTGAATATGAATGATTTTAGGCTGAACAACAGAAGAAACCTAACAGAGGAAGAGAGCTGAGAAATAGGGAAAAATTTAAAAGCTTCTCTAAGCATTAAAGGACATACTTCTGTAGAAGTTATAGAGATGATCTGTAAAACTAATAACTATAAAAATGTTCTACTTACTATTTTATAGTAACAACAAATAATCATTGTTTCATTTTTGTTTGCTAAGCAGTCACATAACTTTCTAACAATTCAATTTTTCCTTAAATCAAATTATCACTTAGTTTTGTTTTATAATCTTGGTCATAACAGAAATAGATATAGATAATTTTAGCCAGCAGCTACAAATTTTATCTCTGCTAGCAAAAAATTTGCAGTTCTATTTGTTACTCTCTTACGGCTTTAAATGGTACTAGGGATTTTCTGTTTCTCTCTCTCTCTGTCTCTCTCTCTCTCTCTCTCCCTCTCTCTCTCTGTGTGTGTGTGTGTGTGTGTGTGTGTGTGTGTGTGTGTTGTTTATATTAAGATTCTTCCATCTCTCCCTCTCTGTGCTGCTGTAGCCAAGCCAGACAGCCTATTGAGAAGCAGCAAACCATCTGTTAATGGATTTGAAGTTCTGAATTATACTTGAGTGTGTAGAGGCACTCGTGCTTAGCCAGAAACATTCATTTGAATTAAGCTATAAATGCTGTATAAAAAAGAGCCCTACACGTAACGTAGGTTCATGAATAAATTTAAGAGAGGGCAATTGCTCTCTAAACTTTTATTGCTATAAAACCTAGTATTTTTGATGTTCTCTGATCATTTGGGGTTTTTATAGCAGAATCAAAGCTCTAAACCTTGAACTAGGCGGAGACAATGCACATGTTAAACCTTTTGCTATATAATTTCATTGCTGAATTGCTGATAGAAAACAAGCTTGTGGATTGGTGGGGGTTCTCTCCCCCCCCCTTTTTTAATGCAAGAGATGTTTAAAACGGTCAAAAAAAATCCCAATAAATAATTTTCTGGCATGGGGCCAGATCTCCTAGTTCATGCCCTTTGATTATTTTCTTTAGCTGATATCTTGTCTTCTCTGGAATAATCTATTAATTTTTTATGGCAGGAGAAACAGTCCTGCATAGAGCTTGCATAAATAACCAAGTGGAGAAATTGATTCTTCTTCTCTCTTTGCCAGGAATAGACATCAATGTTAAAGGTAAGTTCTAAATCTTTGTGGTCTCATCCAGTGTCTTAGAATTTGTGATATAAAATAGTTTTATGTCACATTAAGAAAAACCATTTAAATAAACTTAACTAAGATATCTTTAAAATACTGTCATTAGCAAAACCAGAAAATTTGTTGTGTAATAATTTATATCTAATGGTATACAAATATTTTTTGCTGCTCATATTTTTATCATATCCCAACATCAGTACTTTTATTTATGTTTTCTTGAAAGTAGAAATATAATATGGTTATTTTTTTATCAAAGCTGATTTTTTTGTATAAGAAGCACCTTCTGAGTTGCACTGATGAGAGAAGAAGAGCATCAATACTTTTCAACCAAAAGTCCTACTTCTGCTCTTTTAAAACTTGCCTTAATTTCTAATTTAGACAATGCTGGCTGGACGCCTTTGCATGAAGCCTGTAACTATGGCAACACAGTGTGTGTCCAGGAAATTTTGCAGCGTTGTCCAGAGGTAGATCTGCTCACTCATGTGGACGGAGTGACTCCTTTGCATGACGCACTGTCAAACGGACACGTAGAAATTGGCAAGCTGCTACTACAGCATGGGGGTGAGTGTGTTTATGCTAAATGGGTTTTGATAAGTTATCCAGATTTTTGATGAATCCCTTGGAGGAGGTAGACAGCATTTTATTTTTAAAATCTCTAAGGAAAGATGCTTTTATTTTGTACTAATGAAAAGAAAGGACAAAAACTCTCCTATAATGTACCACCTTTCATTAGTAGTGATAAGAACCTTTTCATAATATATGTATGTATGTATGTATTGTTAAATCTATTGATGTTAATGTATCATAGTATATTTTTTAATTGAATACATTGGTTTTAAATATAGTTCTTTATTTAACATGTATGATGTCTTTGTGAACTAGTTATCTCTGAAAGCTCATTAATAAATAGATACAAATGTTCATTATGATTACTTATTTCCTATATATAACTACTAGCTCAATTAATGTTATTTTATAAGTCATTTCTTTACAGACTGTGGAAAAGATATCCTAGGATATTTTTCTTCACCCACATTTTATAGTCAATTAAGTTGAAGTAAGAGGCTTTCCATGGTAATAACTGTTGTACAGGGGTTTTGTAAAGAAGGTAACTTAAGCTTACTTTTTATCTACTGCTTTTTCTCATGATTTTTTTATCTTAGTTTTCAGCAAGTCCCTTTTCAGTGACATTCTTATATCTGAACTGAATATTACAAGTTTTACATCAAAATGTTCAAACTGATGGGTGTCTTAAAAGGAAAAACAAAAGACAGCTGATAACTAGTTTATAATAGAGCAACAAAGATTTGTGTAAAGTTGTTATTGCTTTTATTTGTACTGCTTTTAATTTAGAAATTAGCATGATTTACCCTGTAATTAAAACATTTGATTCGGCATAAAAACAAAAAGCATATTCTCTAGATGTCTGTTTTGCTAGATATACATCCAAGAAAGGTTGTATAGCATGATAGTTTAAAACATTTGGTTATTTATAGTCTTCTCCTGCCCCCTAAAGGCCTTAGTATGTCTGTTTTACTAACAATATTTCATAATCAATATATTTTTCAGTTCTTCTGTCTTCCTTTTTTAGTATTATTTGCTTACTGAAAATGTTCTGCCTCTTAAGTATTTTGTTTTTCTGTTATGTATCTAACATTCAAGCCAATATTTGATCTTGTAATCAACTAGTGTGATATAACAGCCATTTAAGTCTAGCTCTTCAGTAGAATATAGCATTCTACCAGTCAATGTGGATATTACTAGTGTAGAGTACTAAATGGATGTGCTCCTTGATCTAGGAGAGGAAATCTACTTGTACTTGGATTTATCAAGATCCTTTGGCAATCATACTTATTTTTGCCTAAGTCATATTCTGGGTTTGGATCTGTTGCTTACTGCATTGTCATTGTAGTAGCTGTATTATCTATTCATTGTGAGTCATTCAGTTTTGATAGCAATAATTTTAAAGAGTATATTTATGTCACTACAACTTTTGTTTACTTTACATATCAGTCTTTTAAACAAGAGGAACTTGGAACAATTGTTATTTTGTTTGGAGATGTTGGCACTATGAAAAAGAACCTAATTTTTACTTAGAATTCTTTTTTTCCATAAATTATATGTCAATCATATTTCATCAGTGGTTGATCTTTAACATTAAATATATTTTATATCTAGGCCATTACATATGTTGGCCAGAGTCATCAAGAGCTGTAGCACTTACAGTCTACTCTGTTTTTGACAATATGGTTGTATGTTGTAATGGTAGGACTTTCCTATTATGTCTGCTAGTACTAAGCCTTTACATCCCTTGTAACATTTTAATGAAAAAATGTATAAATAATTATAAGATTTGATTGACAAAGGTACAAAATACTCCTATACTTTGCTATGTGACCAAATACCCTGTCATTGTTGTTTTGCCCCTCTCACATCATCCATTAATGCCTAAGGGGAAAACTTTCTAAGCAGATAGTTAGATGAATTTAGTTTAGGTTCATGGATGAGCTCTTGAATTTGATTCAGAAGTATTGACACTTAAGTTTTTGTGAATCAGTTACCTATAATAACATCAAAAATAAAATGAAAAATGTGTTCTGTATTTGTGTAGGGTTTTTTAGTCTTTTTACTGCTTATCATCATGGAAAGAGGAAATTTTTCTTCTTATTGATAAGATAGCTTTAAGACACTTAATAGATTTTAAGATAAATATATTTTGTTAATTTCTTCTGGGAACACTAAAATTCCTACTTTAAAGATGATAACTGATAAAGTTTTATAAAAGCCTTTTTCATTTATCATCATATATACTATTTATTTAACTAAAATATGTACTTTTAGGTAAACTTCATTAGGCAGTTGACGTCAGTTTTTTTTAACTATATCTTTATTAGACAGTCAATATGTATAGCCAGTTAATTATATCAATATGAATTGTAACAAATATGATTATAAACATAGCACTTGGATGGTTTGGGTTAGAAAAAAAGAGAGAGAGTGAACAGCTGTTAAGCTTCCAAAATCAAAATGTTTTACTATTAACTTTTTGCACTTTCTTTTTCACAGGCCCAGTGCTTTTACAGCAGAGGAACTCTAAGGGCGAGTTGCCCTTGGATTATGTGATATCACCTCAAGTCAAGGAAGAACTATTTGCTATTACAAAAATAGAAGATACAGTAGAGAACTTTCATGCTCAAGCAGAGAAACATTTTTATCACCAGCAACTTGAATTTGGTTCATTTTTACTTAGTAGGATATTGCTAAATTTTTGTTCAATTTTTGATTTATCTTCAGAGTTCATCTTAGCTTTCAAAGGGTTAACTCATCTAAATGAGCTGCTTATGGCTTGTAAAAGTTATAAAGAAACCACTACTGCTCATTCTGATTGGTTATTGGATCTTTATGCTAGAAATATAAAGACATTACAGAAACTCCCAAGTATTCTTAAGGAACTGCCTGAAAATTTGAAAGTGTGTCCCGGAGTACATACTGAGGCCTTATTAGTGACATTGGAAATGATGTGTCGGTCAGTCACAGAGTTTTCATGATAATGCCAAAAGGCATGAATCATTTTTTTAAACATGATCAACTTGCTTTGTCATTTAATATAGACTTCATAGCTTATTGACAAGTAGTAATTTGATTTATTTATTGATTATTTTGTAGCCTTGCTAAATTATAAAAGCACTTAAAAAACTTACACAGAACTAAAGTATGGGTTTCTTTTTCCAGCATGTAGAATTTGACTCAGAAGTTTTAAAAAAAAAAGGGGAGGGAGGTTGGTTATAAAGTGCTTTCATTAATCTTTAAAATTTTTGTTCTGAAATGATACTATTTATTTATATTGTTTATGTAAAAATTAGTTTAAAAATTTTTTTCAAATCAAAATGTAGTGGCCTCTATTCTAAACATTCTAGATCTTATAATCATGCAAAGATAATTCATACAAATGTGCATCTATAAACTTGTAACTGTTTCTTATCTGCTGACTAATGACTATGCATTTTAGTTTTGTGTGTTTCTAAAATAAATACTTCTAAAATTTAAAATTGTATTTAATATTTGTTTGATTTTGAAATGCAGTTAATATGCATAGTCTGACAGTTGAGTCCCTTGATCTGTTTTATTTTAGCAGTTCATGTACAAAGTGTATTACTCCTTCATGTAACCAATATTCTGTTAGTAAAAACATTTTGCTGCATAATAGATTTTATTAAATATTACGATTACAAGTGGCATCTAAGAAATAGATTTGAGATTATCTAAAATTTTAATGTGCAGTATGAATTTGTGGAGTAATAATGTTTCAATTTGCAGTTTTTTCTTAATAGCAATTTACAATAAAACTAAAAGACAGGGCATAGATAATAACCACTTTTGAAATTGGAGTTGCTTCACTAGTGGGAATAAGTTACATTGTGATACAGCTGGAAAAGAAACATTAAAACTTCCATTTAGCTTTTATGTAACTAAAGTAATTTCACAGTAATTAATCTGCTGAAGAAGCATACTTTAGTTTTATCTTGGAAGTAGATCACTTAACAGGTTTTATTACTGGGCTTATAATCTTAACTTGAAAACGGCTACATTAGTGTAATTACCTCTGAATAAAAATCAAGGTTTTTCTATATTTTCAAATAAGTAACTTTTTACATAGACTGTAAGAAATATTAGTAGTTTTTATTTAGCCTTCAAATATGACATCATACAAATTTCTTTTTATTATTTACTTAATCTGCCATAATATCAGAAAATAGATTATCTAACGGGTGCTAAAATACTCAGAGGAAGTAGTATGCTGTGGGTTTTCCAGAAGACTTTTACTACCAGGAGTGGCTACTTTATCTCAAATGTGATGGCACCTGGGATAGTGTTTGCTTGTGAAAGTAATATAAATCTAAAAACTGAGACTCTGACACCAGACACAGTTTCAAATTTTTGTCTAGTTTGTTAATAACCAAATTAACAGAAAAATTCTAAGTAATCTGTTTTTCTTACATGTCAAATTGAAATAACACCAGCTATGCTTAACATGATAAAATTGAGTTAGATTGTCACTTTCAATGACACTTAATAAAATATTTCTTTCTAGTCCTTACCTTCTCTTTTGGTTATAGTGAATAATTAAAGCAGAAAGAAGGGTTGTAACTGTTTAAGTTGGTAATAATTCTAAGGTAAATAATAGCCATCATCATGACTTAGGGTTTTGCACTGTTAAGAAAAAGTAGTTTTCTAAATTGGATGTCATTAAGACATATTCGTGTGGTTGGAATTATCATTAATATTTCATAATGAACTCTTCTTTCTGCCGACTCCTATAAGCCTTGATGACATACTGTGAAACACTGTGCCTGTAAAAAGCTATCACGGTTTCGCACTTTGAATGTCCAACATGCAAATATTGGTTATTGTATTCTGCGGCATAGTTAACAATACCAGTATAATATGAATTGAAATCTGCAGTGAACATTTTATTATTCCAATATTATTTATATACATATAAATATGTATAGCAGAACTAGAGTTTGAACTCAGGGCCTTGTACTTGCTAGGCAAGCACTGTACTACTCGAGCCATGTCCCTATCCCATTTTTTTACTTTATTTTTCAGATTAGGGTTGTGTGCATTTTGCCTAGGACAGCCTAGGACCAGAAAATCCTATCTATACCTCCTACCTAGCTGGAATTTCAACCATGCTCCACCATGCCCAGCTTGTTTGTTGAGATGGCATCTTGCTAACTTTTTTTGGTTGGGGGGAGACTGTGGTTTGAACTCATGGCTTCATACTTGCAAAGTAGGCACTCTACCACTTGAGCCACACCTCCAGTTACTAACTTTTTACCTGGGCTGGCTTCAGACCATAATCCTCTCAATCTCTGCCTCCTGAGCAGGTGTGAACCACAACTGCTGCCTGGCCTAATTTTTTTGTTTTTCACTACTGAGGTTTAAACTCACTTGCTAGGCAAGTTGTTTCTTTTTGTGTGACTGGGATTTGAACGCAGGGCCTTTGCACTTAAAAAGCAGGTGCTCCACCACTTGAGCCACACCTCCATTTTACAATCTTATATATGTCTTAAAGGTAGAAAAAAAAATTTTTCTTCAAGTTTTAAATAGTTCTCACTTGGAGACTTCTCAAACTTATAAGTTTGAGCTAAACTAAGATAAAGCTAAGTAATGGTATTCCTTATACCCTACCAGGTTTGATATCATGGTTCCATGGAACTATAAAACAAACAAAAACAACAAAAAACCTATAAGAGCTTTTACCACAATAAAGGCTCAAAACTTCTGACCTGTTAATATTTCAGCTTCTCCCTGTACACTATTTATTGACAGTTTCATAGAATGTTGTAGTGTTCTAGGTTCTTAATTCTTAATTTCACTGTACAGAATAAAGTGGTCCAAATGTATATTTTCTGCAGTTCACTAACTACAGAGTGACCAGAAAAGCATTCTCATATAAGTCAAATGTGAAATTAGTTACTATTTCAAACTCAGCATTTCTTGAACACCGTATGTCCCAGGTGGTATGTTTAATGAGAGGTGGCTACAGAAAAAGAAGGGGTTACATTCTGGAAAGGTAAATTAGGCTTAAATATCATGAGTTTTGTTGTATACTATATATCATATACTGCTAAGTAATTTCAGCTTTGTTTCTAAATTTTGCAGCAATGGTACCCTGCTTTACTTTTTTAATTGTGAAATATTCAAGAGTCTGATAGTATAATCCTTTGACTGGTATTATTTTAGCAATTTAGTTTTAGAATAATAGAAAGTGGGTTGTGTTCCTTTAGTCTCAGGACCTAGTCCCTATTCTTAGTTGATGCTAATGTACTTTATATAAACTCTAAAAAACATTTGTCCTTTTCCCTGTGCTACTACAGAAAGTTAAATGATAGTTTTACATGAAAAAAAATATTGGTGGAATATGCAGTCCTTTGCCTTTGTAGACCTTTCCAGTTCAGTGAGATACTTGGTGAGAGCCTGTCACTGTTGCTCCTTAATCAGTAGAAAGGGGTCATCTTTGAGTGACATGAGGCACTCACTGCCTGAGGCATTTATCAGGAAGCTTCCATACCAGTTGCACCTCCCAGTAGCTTCCTCGCCAATTGCACCACCTGCTGATGTGGAGCTTGCAAAACTCTGAATGATAATTATTTTTATAACAAATGTGTGTTGAGTTAGGAAGATCAGTGGTGGCATTATTGGAATTAGGCTGTGCTTGATGATGTCAAAACAGATACAGTACTTAATTATTGTAGATCAGAAGATGTTATCCAAAAAGTCACCTTGTAGGTTAAAGTGAATTTTAGTAGGAGGACATACTTTGTTGCTTATTTGCTCTGATGTCATTGATCATTAGATTTGTAGAGTTTGCCCTCTAATAGTAAATACTAATAATACAGAACATCCAAAATATGTTTAACTCAGGCCTCCCAGTGTATGAAAATGCCTATACCTATTTTTGTTTCTTGAAACACATGAATTTATATCATTTGTTGCAGAGGAGAAAACATTCTGTTAAGTCATTTGAAAACGAGGCTTGTTAGATTGACTACACACAAATCTAAGGGATGGTCTTTTTTTTCTTCACATAAGGATCTGCTCTTTGAGAGCATTTTATGTTATAAGCTGTTTCCAGCATTTTATATATTTAAATTCATTACTGTAGGGTTTTTTTAGTAGAGATACAGATATAGTTTTGATTACAAATATACTTTACATTGTTTTTAAAGCTCGAACTACAACCCTTAGTACTAGATACATGTTTTACAATTAAAGATACATAATTTTAAAGTAAACTTTTTCTAGGTTTTAAAAAGTATTTCTGAACTAAAATCTAGCATTAAGTTAGATTGACTAGTATCAATTATAAAAAGTAACCCTAATAAAATAGGTTTGTATTATTTATGTATATAATATACAGATACTATAACAGACCCCCAAAATGCCCCTGTTCAAGCATTTTATATATAGCTATTTCCAAGTAGAATTGGAATATTTTCTTCAGGGTTTTAGTTTTTGTGTCCTGGCCCCACATCTTTTTAGTATATGAAACCCAGATTTGGTAAATGAAATCATCCTTCTTCCCAAAGTACCCAAGTTGCATCAAGTGGGCATTACTATATAATTGGTGTTCATCATTAATAGAGAATGTCTCACAACTTTGGAATACGTGGCTTTCTGTTGAAAAACAAAGGTCTAAAAAACATTTAGTACTTCCAGAAAAGTAAGTTGCATTGAACTGAAAATCTGGAATCCAGCTTTGAATTTACACCTATCAGGCCATCATTTATCTTGATAGTAGATGAACTAAAATAGCCATTGCTTCTCCATTCTTCCATCCCCAAGTGAAATAGTCACGGTGAAAAAAATCATTAATCTTAATGTGGTGACAGATAAAAGAACTTAGCTTGTTGTCAGTGACTTCTCATCTTCAAGGTTAGGTCAGCAATGGTTTATGTCACAACTCTTGATTAATTTTTCTAATGACCAGAATGGTTTTGATTTATAATAGGTTGTTGTTTTAGGGAATGTACCATCTTGGTAAGATTCATTTTTCTGCTCTGTGTTCCTGTTTACAACATAGAGGTGACATTACTGAGCAATTAAGTACAGTTTTTAGGTATTTTCTATGAAAACTTTTTTAGAAGTTGTAAAAATGAAAAATTGGCAAGGGGGAAAGGAAAAATAAAGATTTCTTGGTACTAATTAATATATTGATGGAGTTAGTGAAAGTATAATATCACAAGACATACAAATCTAATATGAGGCATAAACCGTAGCTTTGAAATTTTTGAATTATTTTCAATAACCTAATCAAAGGTCTCCATAATTGTCTTGTAGAAGGCTCTTTTGGTTGAAGGCTTAATCCAAATAAATGAAGAATAAAAATAAC